GGAACAACGTTAGGGAAAGTGATTATCTGGTGACATGATTGACGTTCACCAGCCTGTGACGTTGGAGAAGCTGCCAAGGTTCTGCCATCCCACCTGCATGTAACGGGACGAGTTCTCCTTGAATGAGGCCGATGTTGCCCTCCCTTCCTGCATCCCTTTACCCAACCCTAAACACTTCTGAGTTTTGGAGAGGAAAACTGCCTCCCAGCTGTGTGGATCATACATCCTCCTCCTCCCAGCTGTCAAATGAGTAAACAATTACTTTAAAAAATCGTTTCAATATGGTCAATGCATGCCCATAATTACGTTTGAAGAATTGAAGCCTGAAGGCGCAAGAAGTAACTTCAGAGGTGCTTCATTTTTTTCCTCCGCTGTTCCAGTATTTAGTACAGCAGATTTTGTTGTCGTATGCTATTCATGTAATAAAAAGAACTCCAAATGTATGACCCTTATGTGAAAAAATGTGTTTTGTTAGCCAAACCCCCAAATAATCGCCCCTTTTCATGATTCGGTGCAGGCAGAATCTGAAGCCCTTGTTTTTCATCATAGCCATCACATTCATTTCAAAAGAGATGCTGTTCATCAGTTTAATCATTTGCATTTTGAATATGATCGCCTGTTGCTTTTTCTCTAGACTTTAAAAAATTATGTTGAATTCAAAAAGTGGAAGGAACAGTTAACCAAATCTGTTTGGATTACACGTTTAATGTAAATGTGTCTTTATTTTATACACAAGGCTGTTGGATCCTCTGGGGGTAACACTTTCCCTAATCTTTCCAAATGTCACAATAACAGAGGTAACATCTGTGCCATTTCAGTATGAAGGGCAGTAAAGGGAACTCTGCCAAGCCCAGGAAAATAATGATTTACCTTTTAATTTTCTAAAGGAATCTAGTAATCATGGAGGACAGGGAGCAGCACAACCTCACAATATCCAAATGCAAACTATTGACATGAAATTAGTTTTTTAGGAGGCTGATGTTGAATGCTGCATCGGCTGCATTGGCGTGGGATATTTCATGTCCGATTTTGATAATACAAATGTCTTCTCTTCCTCCTCAGTTTGTTCTTAATTAAATTTCTTTACAATTTAATGTTTTGTGTGAATTGTTTCATCTGCTGACTGACTTCTGACTTACTTTCTCAGGAACATTGTTTTTATGGGCTTTTTTTTTTTCCCTAATTAGCCCTTCCTCTCCATATTTTATACATTAGATACCCCAAAAGTTTGGGAGCATATAGTCATTTTAGACATCATTTTGACAGTCCTTGTGTTTGTAGCAGATTATTGTATTTACAAGCTTTTTTTTTTTTTTTTGCTTTGAACCACAGAAGGATTTATTTTGTGGTGCACAAGAAGCATTCTAGAGCTTGTTGTGTCACTTGTCTTTTTGTGGGAACTTCAGCAAAAATGTGTTGTGGTTCTAATCTAGGATTTACAGGCAAAACTTAATTATGATGCACCTGTTGGCTTTTAAATCTGATTTCTTGAATTGTCCTGATGCATACATACCTTCCTCCTAAGCTTTTGCTTGATAAGATTTGAACATTGGTTCTTGCTTGCAAACCAGAGTGATTTCCTCCTGTTTCAGAATAGTTTGTGTATCTTTAAGTTCTTTGTGCAGCTCTTTTTGTCTCCCAAACTGCTCTTAGGATGTATCTGGTCTATAGAAATCACTCAAGCTCTTGCAATCTATTAAATAACTGAACTATTTTAAGTCTCTGGTGTGTTTTCATAGAAAGCTTTGTTTAGGAAATGAGATTCCCAAAGAAAGCAAACTTTTGGACCTTTAGTGTTTAAAAACAAGCACATCCTTTGTTTTGAATGGTACAGGCAACCATCCGTTGTCCTAAATAAAAAGATCCCTAAAAATGCAGTCATGATGCATTCATCCTTAGATGATCTAAATCCTTTACTTCATTCTTCTTGTATAAACCCATCTGTCTTCCAAAGTACTGTTGTCTTTTTGCCAGAGTGCTGAATTATATTGCTGAATGTATGTTTAATCAGTTTTTAGCGGGGTTGTTACGTGGCTCATAGATACTGTGCTGCTTACAAATTACAACTCTTCATGCTGCTTTTGACTAACAAATGTTCCAAAAAAAGTCAGATCCCTTCTCACTGAAGTATTTCTGTCTTTTCTAATGTGGACTTGCCCAAGATAAATGTGTGATTTGCAGTATCTTGCTTTTAGTGCTGCCTTTCTAACTTTTTTTTGGTATTTGACATACTCAGAATGAGACAGCTGAAAGCTCTCCTGCGTGTGATCATTTATGGATAGAGAACAGAAAGTCAGCAAGCTTCAGTTTTCTAATATTGTTTGCACATGTTTTCAGGATATATCTCCCTACTACAGGTAAATCATATTTCTAATGTTACGGTGAACTTTTTATCTACTTAAAAAAATACTCCACTGTCGTTAGCATTAGATTTTTCTTCAGTCATCGGTGGACTGTTATGAAATGTGGTTGCTAAAGACCTGTTCGTAGAATAATATCTTTAGATTGTAATACCAACTGGATAGGTTTATACATCTGAAATGAATTTAATCTTTATATCAACTGTCTTTGTACTCAAGGGCTAATTTTTCACGCCTAATTTGCACGTGCAGTTACTGTGACTGAGTATGCAGCTACAGTAAAAATCTCTGCGAACAGCAGGCGTTTCGTCTCTACCAGTTTTACGCCTTCGACCACCGTAACAGCTAAGTAGGAATTTAATAAATAAGGGAAAAGAAATAAGTAATGCCTGGCTTTGAAAATCTATGCCCGATGTCTTGATTGTCTCTCTCTTAAAATCTTCTTCTCTGACTCTACCCTGTGTAGCTTGTTACCTATTTTCCATGATTTCCTCTGTAGTCATGTTCTCTCCATGAAGGTAGTGTTCTCTCTATCCAGTATGTCATGGCCATTCCTTATCACACTGATTAAATGATAGCTTTTGTGGTCACTAAGTAGAAGAAGGTCTTTTCCTGTCTTCCCTCAGTAGACAATTTCTGGGATGTCCTGTGTCACAGCTCTGGCACTCATCTTTCTCAAGCCCTTGTCCTGCAGGGCTTGGGTCTCCTAGTATAAACAGCTCACTGCACCTTACAGTAGCTTATCCCAAATAATTTATATTGCATTTGTTTTCTCTTTGAATTAAGTGATATCCTGGAATATCCTGTGGATTACACTGTAATAGTTAAAATTCCTAGCTAGACTGCTTTTCTATGAGAGTTTTCTCTGACCTACAGTTGATTCAGTCACTTCTTGAAACAGAGCAGCATACAACGTGAAAGTCATTAAAATGTATTTATGAATGAAATATGGACATTTTTTCAAAATAACCACGGAGCATATGACTGTGTTTTATGTAGGACTACACAAGTACTTTTGTATGTACTGACAGCTGAAGTCATATAAAGGGTTAAAGCACAACTATTTTTATTGCACGTTACTGCAAACATTCATGAGCCCATTTCTCTGTGTAGTGCGTATTAGTAAGAGATTACACTGAAAAATGTGGTTTCAGTATTTATAATACAGAATGTACTTTCCTTTTGCTGACACCTATGGAAAGGAAACTGTTGCATGGCAGCAGATGATAATTTCAGTCGATTTTGTTCCTTTCCTACTCCCACCCTCATTTTGGAGACATAATGTAGGGGTTGTAAAGCAATCTCTCTAAGTAATGTGCTTGCGGACTATAGGACTATAGAACACCTTAAGCAAGTACTTCACAGGAGCAGGATCCTATTTGAGAGTAAGACTGAAAACCCAGTAGGTTGAAAAGATTGTTTTACTTTGCAGGGCATGGAAAGCAACTGATACCAAAAGGAAAATAAGAATCTTGGAGATCCATCAAGTGTAGTTTTATTGAGTAAAAGGACTTATTACAGCTCTGGATTGTTTAACTGCAGAATTACCCATCTAAATCTGGAAAGTTTAGAAGTACTGAAGTGTTGGAGAATGTTAAATGTTCAGATAGTTCTGTTTTAATTCATGGGGTTTGAACCTTTGGGTTTACTTTTTCAAGTGTTTTTTTGGCCACCATGAGGATTATAGATTTCTCTAACATACAGTCAAATGCTCTGAAGCAAAATATAAACCACTCTGAAACTTGAAATGGAATGGTAAAAGTAGCCAGCAATATGAGGAGGACCTTGAAACAGCTGACAATGCACAACAGGTTGCCTTCCCAGTTTTTAAGCCATGTGTCCAGATGTTGAAACAACTATTTCTTGTCATACCTGAACTAGTCTTTTTGGTCCCTCTGTTTCTTGTATAACTCAGCTTCTCCTTTGGGTGCAGAGGCTGCACTTGATAATAAACCTGGCGTGAGTTGGCAGCAGGACTCAAATCTGTATGAGCTTTGTTTCAAAATACTCAGTTCAACTCACGAGTCAACGTTGTGTTTATCTAACAGTTTGGCAACTTAGCACCAAATGCTGGAAAGTGCATAATGTGGCTCTTTAAATGACTTAATCCTGCCAGTAACATTTTCAGGCGATCCTAATTTTGTATTGCATTTTTATTGGATTCTGATGAATTTTGAACTGAGCTTTAAAAGGGACTTTTTTATAGGGAGCTTTATATAACTTCCCATACTTATACATATCACGGGGCACTACCAGTGAGAAATAAAATGTTACCCAGTGTTGGCTTCTGGATCCTTCTGTTGGTCAGTGTTGCGTGACTTGAATGTAATAGTGCAGTTTCTGTGGATAGAAGTGTAGATTAGAAAATTTCACAGACTGCTGACATTTTAAAATACTCAGTTGTGCATATATAGGATTACTTAATTTTGTGAAAAGTTGTTGAAATCACATCACCATATAGCTTTGGTGTTTTTCATAATGTCACTGTGTTCCTTTAGGCAGCGTCAAGCATGAGGGCAGCTCTAAAATTTTCAGCGTTGCTTTGTTCTCCTTGTATATATGACAGCGTGTGTTGTCTATGCATTTTCCTGAATATACATATTTATGCTGATTTTTACCCCTTTGTGTTTCCAATTACAGGTCACCTGTTTTACAAGTTTGGAATCACAGAATCTGACTGGTATCGAATCAAGCAAAGCATAGACTCCAAATGCCGAACAGCTTGGAGGCGGAAACAGCGAGGGCAGAGTCTTGCCGTGAAAAGCTTTTCAAGGCGAACACCTTCATCATCATCTTACAGTGGTTCAGGTAAAAAAAAAACAACAAAACAACCCCTCAAAACCCACAAAAACCAAACAAAACCCAACAGAAATGGAAACTTAGAGTAACGATGCCATTTGTTTCTCTCTATACCTGAAAATTATAGAATCGTAGAATGGTCTGGGTTGGAAGGGACCTTAAAGATCATCCAGTTCCAACCCCCCTGCCAGCAGCAGGGACACCTTCCACTAGACCAGGTTGCTCAAAGCTTCATCCAGCCTGGCCTTCAACACTTCCAGGGAGGGGGCATCCACAACTTCCTTGGGCAACCTGTTCCAGTGTTGATCTTGAGTTTTAATTACAACAGGTGCAGGTCGTACCCACAAATGGGAATATTACTGTGTTAACAGATAAATACAGAAACCCACATTTCTCACAGTTGAATTTTTGGAGTGGTTTTTATATTATTGCTTTTTTTAAAGTACCATTTATTATTGGCAAAGAGGCCTCTTTGTTAGAGTGTATGTGTGTCTACATTGCTCCTCAAGTAGTGTATCCACCTACTAAGTGAAGCTGACCATTCGTAGTTAAATCATCATGGGCCTTCAGTGCAAACCAACCACCTCCTGGTACATTCAGGGTCCTTCACAGCCTCATGGGGCTTGTATCACAACTCCAGCACATGCAGCTTCATGCTATCATATGAGGGTTTTTTTACCATGTTAAATTTTTAAAGTACAAGGTCAGAATGTTTCTGCAACTGATCTTCATAAGAAGAGTCAAGTGAATAAAATATAAAATCTTTCTCAGTGTGTTCACACCATTTAGTAGGACGTGCTAAATTTTGTTCCTGAAGTATTTTCCTCTGAAGAAATTAAATGTTGTAGGTGATTCTGTATTTCCATATAGGTATGTAGGCATGAATAATAATAACAAATGAAAAATACTGACCTAAGAAGTGTTCTCATAGCACATTTCTGGCTCATGCCTTTAATATAAAGCACTGTTATGGGACATTTGTACATCATATATTAAAAACAGTGTTTTGGAAGTGAGCCTAAAGAAAAGGAAGTAAGTTTATTTGCCTGCATAAAATTTTTGGTTGCATGTTAACACTAACCACTGTATCTCATGCAAAGAATGCCAAAATCTGCTTTCAATGGAAAATTTTATGTGCTGGAACTAGGAATCATATCCAAAATTCTCAAATTAAAACAACTAATCAACGTAATGATAACCATAAGCCATATATGTTGATGGGATTTTTATTTTCAGTCTCTTAGCAATCAGTATTTTAGAATAAAAATGCAGTACTAAGTGGATATTATGGGCCTGTGCTCATTAGACTGTATTCCTTGACTGTTGTTGAGATTTATTATTAAAAAATATTTATCTTTAATGTCCTGGTTTGGAGATTTGGGGAGACCAGTGTAGAGATGTAAACACAGTACTCGGGCTCA